CACACACACAGCCTCTGCACACCCACCACACACACAGCCTCTGGCCTTAGTCGTGAATTTTCACCCAATATCAGATTCATGCACAAAGCCCTGTGGAGAACACAGAGAAGAGCTTAAAAGAAAGAGAAAACATGGCAGTTGCACTCACCCCGTTGCAAAGTAAAGGGCCTCTCAACCAACACGTGGCTGCTTGGCCCTTGTGTTCACCTAAACAGGCTTGTTTCTAATGGTCCAGGCCCTGCCTACCACGTGGGGCCATGGCTCCTGCGTGTGCCCTGTGGTTCTGTGATGGTCCCTTGCTGACGGTCCCTGCTCCTGAGAGCCCCAGGCCCCGAGTCTAGAGATGTCCTCTGCACGACTTCCCAGCTTTGTTTCTGTGAGTTTTTGGCGTGTCCTGTCGTGCAGTCCGCAGTGTGACAGCGTCCCCAGCTGTGGCGTCGACCCTCTGCGGAGAGGGAAGGGGCAGAGGAATAGGGGCGATCGGCTCTCCCTGGCTGTGCGGGGACAGAGATTTGGGCAGTGGGGACCGCCTCCGTGAGGACGCGCTGGACCAACGAGCCCTGGCTCAGAATCAGAGCATCACAGGTGTCGGCCCTGGAGGCCCATCAAAGACTGGGCGCTGCCTCCATGGCAGGGAGCTCCTCTCTGGGTTCAGTGCCCAGAGAGCCTTCCAGCCCTTAGATTCACCCACGTGGTAACATCTGAGAACTCTCACTCAGGCCTGGCTGTTCCACGGCAGCGGGCAGGCCTGCTGGCACTTTGGATGTTTTCACGGAGGGATCCCCAAACCCAAAAGGCCCCCAGATTGTCATCCCCAGCTCTCCCGCCCTCCCCAGGCCCGGGGCTGTTCCCGCTCAGTCTCTGTGCTGGATACAGGACTGAATTCATTTGTAGACGTGTTTCCCTCGCTTCTGCTTTTCCATTTCTTGTATTTTTTCTTTTCCTCCTGTTGTTCCTTTCTCACTTCGTTTGCTTTCTGTCCTCTGCTTGTTCTCACTTCTCCTCTCCCTCCCCCTCCACTTCCACCTCCCCCTCCTCTCTGTCCGTCTCGCCTCGTCCTCCTTGTTTGGCCCTTTTTGAAGTTGAGCCCAGTGGCGGGACTCCACGACGTAGACCTCTCTCCTTCTGCCCTTGCTGTGTCCAGGAAGGTAAAGTAAACCCCAACCTTCTCCCCACCGCCTCTCGGGGGGCCGTAGCAACACTAGTCAAACAGGGACCCGAAACCCAGCTCTTTCTCCTTCTTCTTCTGGTACCTGGTAGCCCTGTTACAAACCCCCTGAGTATGTGGCAGTCCCTTACAAGGTACAGTATCCCTTCGACTGTCTCAGGGGGCTGGGGGGCGGGTGCAGGCAGGGAGCAGGTCCAGGTCTGGGGGCCTCAGGCTGCAGGCATCCACGGTTCCAGGCCACCACTCGTGGTCGGGCCTTTCAGCCTCCAGTCCCGCAGATAGAGGGACCGGGACGCGGGTGAGGAGCCCTGCCCCGTGTGGCAGTGATTTGTGCTGGTGACGTCGAGGAATACTGTCCTTACAAAGACTGTTCTGCACAGATGCCCCAGTTCCTTCCAAACCACTAAAAGCAGATTTCTCTGCCCTGTGTCTTGCTGAGTGTGTGTGTTTTAAGTTTGTCTGGTTTGCAGTCCCTTGTGGTGGTGATTGTCGTTGACAAGGCATGCGGGTGGGGCCGGGGAGTGTGACCACGGCTAACCCGCTAACCTTCCTCTGCTCTCCCCGGCGCTCGCTCACCGCTGACCACCACCAGCTGCGTCCACCTCGGCCGTCCCTCCGGAGCTGGCTCGAGCGCTTCAGGAGGCATCCTGGCGCCCAGAGAGCTTACCTGCCCCGGGCCCCGTGCTTGCCATACGCCCCGCGGGTGCCCTGTGCAGAGCCGCTCAGGAAGGAACGCGCGGAGCTGGATGGGGGCTACCGGGCGGTCGGGAGTGCTCTGGCCCCGGTGCCCAGCACGCACTCCGCGTGCTGGGCCAGGACCCAGGACCCAGGACAGCGCAGTGCAGACGCGGCCCCTGCCCTCGCGTGTGGTGGGAGGTCGGGGTCCCTGAGAGCTACCCCGTGTGTTCCTGGGCTTGGTTTTACTGGGAGAGGACTTCTGACCAGTGACCCATAAAGCAGAGGCACTTGGAGAGACCTCCCCGTCCCGGCCTCTTAGCCCAGCCGTGGGTGGACTCGTGGGGCCCATGAACACCTGGAGTCCTTGGCAGAGATATTGGATGTGTTCACGTGCAGTTTTCCAGGAAGAGAGTCCCCAAGTTTCCTGAGACTGTCGAGTGGCTTGTAATCTGCAAACAGCGAAGAGCCACCGCAGTCTGGCTTCTGCGTCTGGACAGGACCCACTACGGCCGTGGGCTTCCTTGTGTCCCCTCCGGGGGGTGTGGCTCCTTGGAAAGGTCTCCTTCCCTCCTGCTGCGGCTGAGCCCGAGGGGGTGAGGCCGCTCCTGGTGGAGACGGGTGTCAGCTGAGTAGGGTGCAGGCAGCCGAGTGTGGGTGGCACCAGCCCCAGAAACTGCTGCTGGGCTTGGATCAGAGCAGGGGGTTGGGGGGAGCCTGCGGTCTCCCTGCCCTGGTGAGAGTCCCCACACCTCCCAGGGACGTACTGCGTCTGCCATGCAGGGGTCGCGACAGCATCTGTCAGGAAGCCGCAAGTTGAGAGGCACCTCCCTGGTCAGGGTATGGGAAACGAGGAGGCCTCGGGGCAGTGACCCTGTGGAGGTGCCGTAGTGAGTGTCCCCGGAAAGGAGGGCTGAGTACCCTTTTAATCTCCATTTGCCTCTTCATTAGACTGGCCTCAGAGCAGACCTAGTGCCTAGCAAGTACCGAATACGTGCTAGATGAATGAAAAGAGAAAAAGGAGGGCAGGGCGCCGCAAGCACGCCAAGAGGACGCCAGCGGCCGAGCAGGAGAGGCCCGGGCGGGCTGCCTCCAGTGGCTGGGGCGTGAGGCCGGCCGGAGGGACAGAGGAAGGTGCAGGCTGGGGACCCTTGGGGGTGGGCGTCCTCGTGCCCGAAGGCAGACTGGGCCTGGCCCAGGAGCGTCAGGCGGCACCCTGCTGGGCTCTCTGCACACTTGCCCCGTTGCCGCGTCCGGGCTGGGGACAGCGGCACGGCCTGCCCGACACGCCCTCTCTCGGCAGGCATGGGCAAAAAGGACGACCCCAAGCTGATGCAGGAGTGGTTCAAGCTGGTGCAGGAGAAGAACGCCGTGGTGCGCTATGAGTCGGAGCTCATGATCTTGTGAGTGGCCTCGGGTCTGGGGGAGCCGAGGTGGGACGTGGGCGCAGGGCCCGTCGCAGCAGGAGCGCAGCCCCCTCCCAGTTTAGGGGGTGCGGAACTGTGCCACCCCTCACCAGTCACTGGCTCGTTTTCCCCCCAAATCCCCGGAAACCCCAGCGCCCGGGAGCTGGAGCTGGAGGACCGGCAGAGCCGGCTGCAGCAGGAGCTCCGCGAGCGGATGGCCATGGAAGGTAGGAGGGGTGGGGAGGCAGGTGCGGGCCGCTGCCTCTGGCGCTGGGGACTCACGTGTTTGGTTCTGCCCAGATCACCTGAAGACAGAGGAGGAGCTGTCGGAGGAGAAGAGGATCCTGAACGAGATGCTGGAGGTGGTGGAGCAGAGAGACGCCCTGGTGGCCCTGCTGGAGGAGCAGCGGCTCCGGGAGAAGGAGGAGGACAAGGACCTGGAGGCCGCCATGCTGTCCAAGGGCTTCAGCCTGAACTGGTCCTGAGCGCCGCCCGGCCCTGGCTGGTCTGTGCACCGTCCGACCCGGGCTGGCTGCTCCCAGACCACCCAGATCCGAGGTCGGAGTGGGCCTGCTGCCTCCTGGGAGTTTGCACTCAGACCTCCTCGTGGCTCTGAGAAGCAGTCAAGCGCCGAGCTGTGGGAGCCCCAGTGAAGACGGTGGTCCAGTAGCGCAGCCTCCTCGAAGAGGCCTCCCTGCCCTCCTGCTTCAGAGACGGGGAACGCGGATCCTGGGGGGACGCCTGGTCGGAGGGACGCGGCTCCGCCCCAATCCCCAGGCCCAGGGGGCCAGCGCAGACTTCATCCAGGGCTGAGGAGGCCCGCCCCGCGGCCCAGTGCCACACTCCAGGCCTCTCCTGGCTGTGGCCTGAGGCCTGAGGCTGCTGCATTTGCTTTTAATTCACAACACTGGAAGATACTGACTTCAGGGTCGGGCAGAGACCCTCTTCTGGCCCCGCCACAGGCCTGCGGCCTTGTCACGGGCTCCTCGTGGCGGGCGGGAGGCCTCGCCTCGTTCCTGGGTTTGCCCCGAACGAAGCTGACAGCCTGGGAGGCGTGGCCTCTTTGTCAATTAACTTATTTTTTTAATACTTGAAAAGAAGCAACTTCACTTTTATATCTTTACCAGGACACTGATTGCTTGGCACCTGGGTAGGGGTGTGGAGGTGGGTCCCAGCTGACCGCGCTGTCACTCCATTCATTACTCTTTCATCGTGGGGCTGACCTGAACCCTCAGGTCAGCAAGACCCCCGTGTGGGCCCGGCGTGCAGCGCCCGTCCTCCTGTGCCCGGCCCCGGGCGTCCGTGTCTACACCGCTCGCTTGTCAAGTACGCGTTTGAGCTGCTGGAGGCCACGCCATGAGGCACAGATGCCTCTTGGCCTCCCTGTTGGAATCCTGGCTCTGCAGAACCCATTTTTCCTCCGTTTTGGTGCCGAGATCTCACCTGCCACAGCACATTTATTGAAGAAAGTTTTAGGCCGGCTGCACCAGCGCGTGGGACCCTGCTCAGCGAGGCCCAGATCCAGCCAGCTGGAGCTGCAGTGACGGCACACTGGGGGACTCCAGTTGGGGTCCCCCCCACACACACATGAGCTCCGGCCCAGCTCCAGCCCAGCACCTCTTCGTGGGGAGGCACTGGACAGGAAGCACCGTGGAGCCAGCTCGTGCCGTGGCTCAGCCAGAGGCCGGCAGTGTCCAGCCTGCAGAGCCACTGTTAGACTCTGCAGGGGCAGTGCTCGTCCACAGAGGAGCGAGGGCAGCGCCAGGCCAGTCCCGAGGCCCTCCAGCCGACTCCTGGTGGAGCGGGACTGCGTGCAGGGAAGAGAGGCCTCAGGGCAGGACAGGGGGCGTCCACACCGACCTTGGGACGTCCCTGGGGAACCACATCGTGCCTCAACTTGAACAGAGTCATTCTCACTGCAAAGGAGCAAAGAACTGTCTTTTTCTTCAGTCTGTCCCAAAGCTGCCGTCTGGAATCCAGGGCACGCGCTGCTCCAGCCCTCGCGGCTCTGACCTTCACCTCTTGCTTGATGAGGTAGAGCCTCCGTTTCTATTCTCGTTTCTTAGAAGGGGGAGCGGAGGGTGTTCTAGATCCATCCTCAAATCCCAGCCTTCCAATAAAATTGGGCTTGGGACAGGATTCATCGCCTGTGTGGCCTTTGCCTACCCTTCCTACCCACCGCCCCGGTGCACCGCAACTGCCAGGCCCGTCCCTCGAGCTTCTGCCCACCCAGGACGAGGACAAGTTTACAGAGTGGCCAGGAGGGACATGACACCCGCCGCTGCGGAAGCACACCGTGCCTGCAGGAACGAGGACGGCCTGGAGGCTGCAGAGAAGCTTGGAAATGCTCCCCACTCCCTCCCGCAGGGCTGCGACTTCAGGTTCTAGTAGAGCACTTTTTCTGAAAGCTCCCGTTTTATAACCACTAGTTTGCAGGTTGTTGTAGTGCCCTGCTGACGGGCTGCATGCAGTGTTCCCCAGCTCTGGAAATGCACTCAGCTCCTGTCAAGTCCCTTGAAGGCAGGGCAGCAGGAAATCTCTCTGTGAAATGCCACGGCATGAGCAGGCCCAAGCCCGAGGCCTTTGCAGGGAGAGCCAGGTTCAGCTCCAGCAGGGCCAGGGCGGCAGCGCACCTCGCCTCAGTCCGAGGCCACCAGCGGCTCCACCTGGGGGTCCAGTCCTGCTCAGATGGCGTCTTGTGGCCTTTGCCCCGGGAGCTGTCCTCCAGCTGCTCTGACCAGCAGTGATAGACTATCCGCTATCTTTTCAAAGAGCAGAATTTTTTCAGTGGGGCAGAAAGTGGAGAGAGTTTAAAGAAAAGTTTAAAGGTGGTAACAACTGATCTACAAAGGGGAATGGGCCATTTTATGCGCAATAAAAGTTTTTAAAACAAGTACAGAGGGTATTCTTGGCATGAGCCAGGGCACGCTCTTTGGTGGGTTGGTGTCCACACGTGGCGGCACCTGTCAGTGTGTGTATGGGTTTGAGGAATACAACCTTTGTGCTTTCTCAGCCGACTTTATTTTTGTCCATGTTGTCCTGCTCTGGCCACCTGCTGACACCCGTTGAGAAAGTGTGTGTAACACCCAGGGTGTACGAGGCCGCCCTCCAAAGCAGCGCCAGGACCCTCCCGGAGAGATGCGCGTTCCGTGAAGTGTCTCCTCGTCAGGGTGACCCCGAGGCCCTGGCAGCCCGGTGCTGTGGGCTCTGCAGCCTGCAGGCCTAAGTCGATGAGATGTATCCACCTCCCCAAGTACATTCAGAGCACAGGGTCTTGGGATCCCTGATGTTGCGGCCCCAGTGCCCTCCTCGTGCGCTGGCCGCGGGGCGTGTGGCTGGCCTCTGTCACCGTGGAGCTAATCCCAAAGGCACAGGGCTTCCCTCTGGGGCGGCAGCGGGCGGGGTCAGTGCCGGGCCAGCTGATTCCCAGAGCCTCCGGCACCACGTGCGCATCGGGTAGAAAAACAGAAGCAGCGTGGCCCTCGATTCCTCAAAGGAAGTCTGGGTCAGGGACTGTGCCTGGTGGGGGCAGCGGGGCTGGTACCATCTGTGCTGACCCCCTTTTGTTTCTCAGAGGGGCCCCTTGATCGGAGATGGAGACAGGCAGGGTTTGGCTGTGGTTCACAGGCACCCACGTGGTAGGAGGTGATGGTGGCTTCAGGCAGACAACTGAGGGAAGGCTGCCCCGCAGCTGCCACCGCTTGTCCAAGAGCCCGCGTCCGTGTCTCCAAAGCCCCTCCTGAACCCTGGTCCCCAGGCCCCAGAGTGGGGTGGGAAGGACGCCGGCTGTTGCGTTGCCCGGAAGACTCCCCGAGTGCGGCTCGGCGGGCAGGGAGGAAGCGTCCTCGGGTGGGCCAGCGCCCACAGCGCACAGGGGCCTCCAGTGCGGTGCCCAGGGGCCGGGGCTGCCGGGCTTGGCGGGGAGCGTTTTGTGGCAGCCCCACGCCCATGTCCCCTCTCTGAGGTGGCCTTGCAGCGTGGACTTCGGTGGGGCAGTGGAGAAGGCCCCTGATTCCAGGACAGACGTGGAGAGAGTGCCCGGGGTGCACACGTGCACACACGCTGCCCCTGCTGGCTGAGGGTCTCGGACCTCTCGGGGTTTCCAGTCACTAAGCCACTCAACAACCCGCTTCCGCCGCCTGCAGCGTGTCCAGGGCAGCGCGAGCCGGGGAGGCGCCTCGGCCCGCCCCCGCGTCTGCCTCGGGCAGAGGGAGCAGCGGGACGGAGCGCGTGGGGGCAGAGAGGGGGTGGCCCAGGGGCGGAGGGCGTGGGGACTGGGGGCCCCGGGCGGTACTCACCTCTCTGCCTGTCCTTCGAGGTCCAGAGCCTCGGCTCTGTCTTGGTGGGAAAGCGCCTTGAAGGTTGGGAGCTGGTCCACCCCCGCCCAGGGCCAGACCTTTCTCCAGGGCTGGGGTGGCCCTCCCTACACGTCAGCCAACCTCCCGCAGCCTCCAAGCAAGTTACTGGGCCTCCCTGGCCTCCCAGACTGGCCCCTCTGAATGCACCTCGACCCACTGGGTTCTGTGGGGTGGGCGGGGAGCACAGAGGAGGAGCTTGGAGGGGCCTGGGTGCTGGAAAGAGCTCTCCCGGCCTCTGCTGGTCTGGCTCTTGGTCTAGAGCGGGGAGGGCCCATGGCCCCGCGGCCCGATTCCCACTGCACGCCTGGGACCCACAGCCCTCGGGATGTGAGATGTCAGCCCTCGCGAACTGGCTGTCAGTCTGCATCCTGTGGTGACGGGATGGGGTGGCCGGGATGGAGGAAGGCTGGACCCCACAAATCCCGAGCCAGCTGGGCGCCAGGAGGGAAGAAGTGGCGTCTGCGGCCGTGGAACCCTGACCCCTAGAGAAGGCTGGGGCGGGGGTGCTATGGGAGGTGGAGTGTGAGCCTAGCTGCCGCCCAGAGCCCCCATCCCGAAGGGATTTGTCTTGGGGAAGTCAGAGGCCTCACCTCCTCAGCTTGAGGGGACAGGTGCCCGTCGAAGCAGCAGCGACTGTGGGAGTCCCCTCGGAGCCCTGACCTCAGCCCTGCAGGCTCCAGGGCCCCTGGCTGGTCCAGCTCCACACAGGCCCCGCGGTGCAGGCAGCTCAGGAGGAGGACGGCGGCACGTCCCTGTGCCCCCTTCTTCCCCTTCCTGCCCCTTTAGAGCCCAGTTCCCTCACGCAGACCTCTGGCTCCCGGCTGCCCACATCATGGCTTGGTGTTTGTACACATTACAGATCAATCGCCAGTAGGTCTTAACATCCATCACCTCACATGGTTTTTTCCTGCAGTGAGAACTTTTAAGATCTATTCTCTCAGCAACTTCCACACACACGACACAGCAGTGTTAACTACAGCCACCATGCTGAACATTTCATTCCCAGGACACATTTATTTTATAACTGGAAGTCTGTACCTTTCGACCCCCTTCACCCATTTCATCCACTCCCTGTCCCTGTCTCTGGGAGCCACGAATCTGCTCTGTGTCCGTTTTTCTTCCTTTCTCTCTCTCTCTCTCTCTCTCTCTCTCTATTTTTGGCTGTGTTGGGTCTTCGTTGCTGCGTGCGGCTTTTTCTAGTTGCAGAGCGGGGGCTACTCTTTGTTGTGGAGCACGGGCTCTAGGCAGGCAGACTCAGTACTTGCAGCACGCAGGCTCAGTAGTTGTGGCTCGTGGGCTCTAGAGCGCATGCTCAGTAGTTGTGATGTACAGGCTTAGTTGCTCCGCGGCATGTGGGATCTTCCCGGACCAGAGCTCACACCCGTGTCCCCTGCATTGGCAGGTGGATTCTTAAGCACTGCGCCACCAGGGAAGTCCCCAGGTCTTGTTTTTGTTTTTAGATTCCACATATGAGATCATACAGTATTTGTTTTTCTCCGACTTATTTCACTAAGCCATAATGCCCTCAAGGTCCATCCACATTCTTGCAAAGAGCAGGAACTCCTATTTGTGGCTGAACAGTATTCCATTTATAGATACACACACACACACACCACACATGTGGCTCACATCTTCTTTATCCATTCATCAGCCAATGGACACTTAGGTTGTTTCCATGTCTTGGCTATGGTGAATAATATACTGCAGTGAACAGGAGGATGCAGGTATCTCTTCAAGATAGTGATTTCATTTTTTGGATAAATACCCAGAAGCAGAATTGCTAGATCATATAGTAGTTCTATTTTTAATTTTTTGAGGAACCCCCATAATGTTCTCCATAGTGGCTGCACCAGTTTACATTCTCACCAACAGTGCACAAGGGTTCCCTTTTGTCCACACCCTCACCACCAACACTTGTTATTTCTTACTTTTTGATAATAGCCATTCTAGCAGGTGTGGGTGATCTCACTGTGGTTTTGATCTGTATTTCCCTGATGATTAGTGATACTTAGCTTCTTTTCATGTGCCTGTTGGCCATTTGTATGTCTTCTTTGGAGAAATGTCCAAGTTCCTCTGCCCATTTTTCTAATCAATGTTTTTGCTTGTTTTTGCTGTTGAGTGGTGTGAGTTTATATATATATATATATATATATATATATATATGTATATATATATATTGGCAGCTCCACATAGCATGTGGGATCTTAGTTCCCCAACCAGGGATGGAACCCAGGCTCCATTGGAAGTGTGGAGTCTTAACCACTGGACCACCAGGGAAGTCCCTTTTATATATTTTGGATATTAATCCCTTATCAGATGTATGATTTGCAAATATCTTCTCCCATTCCATAGATGGCCTTTTTATTTTGTTAATGGTTTCCTTTTAAATTTGATGTAGTCCCACTTGTTTATTTTTGCTTTTGTTGCCTTTGCTTTTGGTGTGAAACCAAAAAAATGATTGCAAAGATTGATGTCAAAGAGCTTACTGCCTACGTTTTCTTCTAGGAGTTTTCTGGTTTCAGGTCTTACATTCAAGTCTTTAATCCATTTTGAGTTGATATTTGTGTGTGGGGTAAGACAGTGGTTTCATCCTTTTGCATGTAGCTGTCCAGTGTTCCCATCACCATGATAGGGGTCACTGTAGGAGCGGCCAGCAGCCAGAAGCAGCAGTGAGAAACCTCAGGAAAAAGTAGAACCGAGGTCAGGCTCTGGCTCTGCTTAGCCGGCTACACCTCTCAGTCAGAACCACACTGCGGGACTTCCCTGGTGGTCCAGTGGTTGACTCAGTGCTTCCAATGTAGGGGTCGTGGGTTCGATCCCTGGTCGGGGAAATAAGGTACCGTGCAGTGCGGCCAAAACAAAAAAACAAAACGCACTGGGTTTTGTGTTCTGTTTTCATTGCCGAGACCATCATTCTGTTTGTCTATCTATGTATTTATTTTCTCATTTTTAACACATGGATGGATTATAAAGTCCACAGCATAGCAGAAGCTGCAAATTAGAACTGGGGGCTGGATCGGGGAGAAGGGACCTTGGGGGGCCTACTGGTGTGGGTCCCGCCTGGCCTAATGGGCAGTGGCTGGCACAGTGTTCAGGATGAGATCCCACTGCTCACCTAGCCTCCTGCCCTCCCGTGTCACCCACTCCGCACAGCGACATCCCCTGCGTGCAGAATGCCCTTCCCCTCTCGCCACATCTGGTCCCTTTCTGGCTTTCAGCTGCTAGTTTAGATGTCACCTTCTTAGACGACCCAGTCCTGCTGGCCACCCCGCTGGCCACTTGCCCTTACAGCACCCTGCTCAGCCTTCAGTGCGGCACCCACCTCCTGTTCACACGTTCATTCCACGCTGAGTGCCCCTGGGTACCGCGGCGAGAGAGTGACATTCCAGGGAGGGGACACCTTCCAACACACACACACAATTACGTCATATTTCAGGTGAAACGTGCTGGACAGAATGGAGCCAGGCCCAGGGAAGTGCAGGGACAGTGGCAGGATTCGAGCAGAGAGGGTGCAGAGCACGGAGGACTTCGTGGGCTATTGAAAAGGCCCCAGGAAACCCAAGAGGGTTTTCAAGAGTGGGGTAACAACACCTGACTTTTTTTTTTTTTAACACCTGACATTTTACAGCAGGAGGGAAGATACTGGAGCCAAGGTGGCAGGGAGAGAGCGGTTAGGAGGCAGCTGCCCTGACGGGAGGAGGGGCAGCTTGGACCCTGCGCAGGTGGGAGCTGCCGGGATGCTTGGACATGGCTGGCGGGAGTGCGGAACGGCACAGCCACTCTGGAAAACCGACAGTTTCTGATAAAATTAAACATTCCCCAGCACTATGCCCCAGCAGCCCCACTCCTAGGTATGAGACTGAAGAGGAGTGAGGACACGCATCTACAAAAAGGTTGGCAGGACAGTGTTCACAGCAGGACTACTGTGACTGCCATCTGGGGAACATGGTGTTGCTGCCGGAGCCACAGCAGCCCTTCACGGCCCAGGAGGCTGTGATGTGGAAAGTGAAATCACAGTCAGAGGTCTGTGTAAAAAGGCAGAGACTCATGTCATCCATCACCCAAGTTTAGTGGTCAGAAGCTGTGAGAGTAAGAGGAGAGTTGGGTGGTGCTGAGGCTGGAAGGATTACTGGCTCGATGCATTGGTTTGAAGTTAAACTCCTCCTGACAAGACCACAATGAGAGCCTGGGAGCAGCTTTTAGGCAGCATGATTTGGCCTGGCTGGTCCACATAGGGTACTGGCAATGCATTTGTGGTCCTAGAGATGAACTTACGGCTCTAGAGTGTGGGTGCGGGGGGGTGGGGGCTGATGGCTTATGCAGGCGGCCTCAGCGGCCAGGTGAGGAGTTCTGTCCCTGGCCATTGCAGGGAGAGAGTGATGAGCTGGGACCCCTGATGGGTGGCTGGCCCTGTTGTGCCTTCACACCAGTCATGTGTCTGTTGGGATGAACCTGCTCTCGTTCAGATTTTCTAGATTGTCCCTGTTCATACTTCCTTCAGCGCTGCACACAAAAGCCAAAACTTTCACTTAAAGTTAGGTGTGAGACAAAGTTGGACTCTTGCAGTGGAAATTGGCAGCTCCATCCTTTCCTTGCAGGGCTGTGAAATCAGTCCCTCACTCTCTCTCTCCTGTTTTGACTGCCAGGAGCCCCATTTAAAAGTACTTGCTGTTTAATACTTTTATCACTTGGATATGCAGCTCTGATAAAGAAATCAAGTTGGGACACAGACAGATAACACTGCCTAGATTTAAAAACTGTTCCCTCAGTGGCCTCTGCAGGGGCACGTGGTTCCCAGTTCCCATGATGTGATCTTTATTACATAGTTTTTTTTTTAAAATTTATTTATTTTTGGCTGTGTTGGGTCTTCGTTGCTACACGCGGGCTTTTCTCTAGTTGCGGAGTGGAGGCTACTCTTTGTTGCGGTGCACGGGCTTCTCATTGCGGTGGCTTCTCTTGTTGCAGAGCACAGGCTCTAGGCACGTGGGCTTCAGTAGTTGTGGCATGCGGGCTCTAGAACGCAGGCTCAGTAGTTGTGGTGCACGGGCTTAGCTGCACCGCGGCTTGTGGGATCTTCCCGGACTAGGGCTCGAACCCGTATTCCCTGCACTGGCAGGCGGATTCTTAACCACTGCGCCACCAGTGAAGTCCCTATTACATAGTTTTTATTCACTGTAAAATTGGTGCCACAGTTATTTAAGAAAAATTGGAAAGTACAAAAAAGTAGAAAATCCTGCGATTTTATCATTTCACTGTAACCAGCCCATGGTTTCTGGTTATATTTCTTTCCGGTCTTTTTTCTTCTTTTTATTTTTATTTATTTATTTATTCTTCTTTTTAAAATTCGGTTTCTATTCCTGAATTCGCGTGTAGCGACTGCCCTGGTCCCTGGAGGCCTCTGTTCCTGCTTCTCCGCGCGCGGCCTCCAGGGACCTGGCGAGGGGCGGGGCCTGGAGGTGGGCCTGGGGCGGAGCCTTGTCGGGGTGCGGCCGGGAAGGGGCGGGGCCGCAGCAAGGTTGAGGAAATGATGGGGTGGGGGCGTGGCCGGGGCGGGGCGGCCGTGGCCGGCAGTGAGGGGGCGGAGCCTTGTCGGGGCGGGGCGGGAGCGACAGGAAGTGGGCTTGCGGCGGCTGCGCGCTCCGCCCCCGGAATGTCGGCTTTTTCCCGCCCGAGCCCTGTGCGCAGCCATCTCGCCGCCTGCCGCCGCCGTGGGAGGTGAGTACCCCCCGGCGTCCCCAGTCCCAGTGCCCTCCATCCCTGGGCCGTCCCCCCCTGCCCCCGCGCGCTCCGTCCCGCTGCTCCCTCCGCGTGAGGCAGACGCGGGTGCGGGCCCTGGCGCCTCCCCGGCTCGCGCTGCCCTGAACACGCTGCGGGCGGCGGAAGTGGATTGTTGAGTGACTTAGTGACCGGAAACCCCGAGAGTTCCGAGACCCTCAGCCAGCAGGCCGGGCGCGGGGCGTGGGGCGCGTTTCTTTCATCCAGCGAGCGGGACACGCTGCGCTGCGGGGGTGGGATGGCCCTCACGGGGGAGGGGGTGGTCTTCACTGAGGGGGCCTCACCCCTGAGACCCTTTCGGGCGACTCCGCCCCGGCCATGCCCCTCCTGCGGGTCTGTCTGCTGCCCAGGCCTCCGTCGGCGGCCTCAGCAGGGGCACGTGGTTCCCAGTCCCATCCCACCCGTCGGGACAAAGGCAGGTCGGGCTGGGGGCTCTCCTGGGCCCGGGTCCCTGCCATCTCCGGGCAAACCCTGAGCCCGCCGGGAGCCACGGGTGACTGTCCCTGGAAGAGGGTCTGCGCTCGAGCTGGGGGAGGGTGGGAGGAGCCCTCCGGCAGCAAGGGTTGAGCTGGCTCTAGGAAGGCACCGCGGGGAAGAGGATGGGGCGGCCCGCGGGGCGGCTTCTGGACTCCTGCCGCGAGGGAGGAGCGCAGCGCACAGGGGCAGCCTTAACGCTGGGGTCCAAGGACGGACTTCTCTGGGCTGCGCCCAGAGAAGGCTCCGCGGGACAGGGTGCTGTGTGGTGGGAATGGCGACGTCGGGACACCGGGATGCAGGCTTTGGAAAAGAGAGCTGCCGGAACAGGGGCTGGGTCCCGTAAGTCTTGTCTGAGGAGGTCAGGCCATCCGAGGTGGACTCTGAGGGGTGGATAGGAGCTTGCCAGCAGTGCGGGAGTGCTGGGGGAGGGTCCCCACTCCCGGGCCTTCGCAGACCCAGGACTGGAGGTCCCACTTACTGCAGATGCGAGCGGCCTGCCCGGAAGCCCCGGCACCCAGGGGCAAGGAGGAGAGGGACTGGCCTGGCGCTGCGGCCGCCTGCCTGTGGCGGGGGAGGGGTGGGGCCTGTGCTCCGATGGAGGAGCACGCGTCGTGCGCCGGTGCCCGGGACGCCGCGTCTGGACTGTCGGCCCTGAGAAGCCTCGCTCCAGAGCTGTGGCAGGTGCTTCTGTGGCTGCGCCTCTGGTGGCCGGATGTCAGGTGGGGGCTGTGGAGGGAGTGGAGGCCCGGAGTGCCCCCCACCCCGCTGGGCCTCCCTTACACAAGATCTGACAGCATCACCTGGGCCCCCGGGGGTCACGCGTGTGCTCGCCCGAAGCACCCGCGGAGCTCACTGGGCGGGACACGCGGGCAGAGATTTGTGTCTGGACGAATGCTGATCCGAGACAAGACGCTTGAGTACCCTGCCGCCCCAGAGCCCCGGCTCTCCCTGCGGGGCTGCGCTGCCTGGGTTCCCGGCCGCCGCCCCACGTCTCAGCCCTGCTCCGCTGCACCTGTTAGACCCGCGGTGGTGGTGGGGAGGGCCTGGCCTTTCCGCAGACCCCTCCCTGCGGGCAGCCTTGGGGGCTGGGGGAAGCGTGGGGCGGTGCCCTGGACCCGCTCTGGACCTTTTCCCCAGTGCCCGACCCGGTCCTTTCCCTCCTTCCTCTCCCTCCCTCCTCTTCCTGCCTGTGATGGGCTGAATGGGGAAGTTTCCAGTGAACAGCAGACGTGATCATCTAGGTGAACCACAGAGCAACCACTTCTGCTGCAGACTGAGTTCTCGGTTGGCTTTTGTGTATTTGTGTCCAGGGTTCTAGAAGCCACCACTGGGACAATGAGGAAGTGGCTCGTTTGCAGTTATCCCCTTCCCTCAGTGTCCTGTCATCGCGGGCGGGGAGGAAACGAGTTCCCTCCGGGTCACAGAGCAGGTTGGAGAGGGGCTGGTCACCTTCAGGCACAGGAGTGCCGTGCGTCCCGGGGACCTTCTGCCGCGGTGGAAGGATGTGGCGGCCGGGAGCGTGGCTACCACGCGTGGCGGAGGGCTCTTCCGGGGCCAGGGGTCCGGGTCACCAGGAGGGCCGTGGGACATCCCTTTTCTTCTCCCTGGCTCCAAGGCAAGGGAGGTTGTTGGGACAGAGGCCCACCTCGACGCTCTGGAGCAGCCCCCGGCACACGGCCCCTGCGGGCCGTCTTGCTGCACCCTGTGTGCACACACCTCTCGGCCAGGGCCTGTGCAGGTCGGGCGGCGGTGGACGAGGACACTGGGACTCGGAGGCTTTCTGCACTGGGGGTGGGTTTCACTTCTGGGGCTTGTGTGACGGGGTGGCTCCCCCTCTTTATTCCACCCTCCCTTGGGCTGCTTTTTTTTTTAAAACCTCTTTATTGAGATATTTCACATACCATAAAATCTGCCCATTTAAAGTGGTTTCCAGTTTACTGTCAGAGCTGTGCAGCCATCACCACAGTCTAATTTTAGAGCCTCTCAACAGCCCCCAGAGAAGCCACGCACATTATCAGTCACCCCCAGTCCCCTTATCCCCACAGCCCCAGGTGACCCTTGTCTACTTCTTTCTCTATGGAGTTGCCTATTCTGGGAAGTTCATATAAATGGAATCATGCAGTCTGTGGTTTTCTGTGACTAGATTGTTTTCACTCAGCATAATGTTTCAGAGTTCATCCATGTTGTCGCCTGTATCAGAATTTCATTCCCTTTTATGGCCAAATACTCCATTTTATGGATCTACACCATTTTCCTTATCCATTCACCAGTTGATAGACATTCGGCTTTTTGCTACCTCGAATAATGTCACGATGAACATTCGTGTACAAGTTTCTGTGTGGACGTGTGTTTTCATTTCTCTTGTATATATGCATGCCTAGGAGTGGAATTGCTGGGTCTTGTGATACCTCTGTTTAGCATTCTGAAGAGCTGCAGAACTGTTTTCCAAAGTGGCTGCGCTATCTTACATTCCCACCTGCACGGTATGAGGCTCCCGGCTTCTCCACATCCTCGCTACCACTTGCTATTATCCTTTTGGTTCTAGCCGTCCTCGTGGGTGTGAAGGGGTATCTCACTGTGGGTTTTTTCCCTTTCTTTCTTTTTTTGGGGGCCGTGCCGCACACGTGGCTTGTGGGGAGCTTAGTTCCCCAACCCGGGATTGAACCTGAGCCCTCAACAGTGAGAGTGCAGAGTCCTAACCACTGGACCGCTAGGGAATTCCCCTCTCATTTTGGTTTTGATTAGCATTTCCGTAGTGGTTAATGATGTTGAGCGTCTTTTCATATGCCTGTTGACCATTTGTATATCTTTGGATCCTATTAAAATCTTTTGCCCAATTTTTAACTGGGTTGTCTTTTTATTGTTGTTAACAAGAATTCTTTGTATTTTCTGGGTACACGTCCCTTGTCTGGCAAATGATTCGCGAGCACTTTTTCCCGTTCTGTGCGTTGTGTTTTCACTGATCGTTTCCTTTGAAGCACAAAGGTTTTTAATTTTCAAGAAGTCCAGTTTATCTTTTTCTTTCTTGTATAACTTGTTCTTTTGGTGTCATATCTAAGAAATCACTGCCTCTCCCCAGGTCATAAAGTTTTATTCCTTTGTTCTCTTCTAAGAGTTTTTTTTTTAAATGGTTTTAGCTCTTATATTTAGGCCTATGACGTGTTTTGAGTTAGTTTTTGTATATGATATGAGGTAGGGGCCCAAATTCATGCTTTCGCCCCTGTGATACCAGCTGTCCCAGCACCACTTGCTGAAAAGCCTGTGCTTTACCCTGTCTTGGCGCCTTTGTCAGGTCGATGAACCATAAATATCAGGGTTTGTTTACGGACTGTCATTTCTTGCCCGTTGATCTGTGAGGTTATCCTCTGCCAGTACCACGTTGTCTCAGTTACTGTAGGTCAGTCATAAGCTGTGAAGTTGGGGAGCGTGAGTCCCGCCAGTTTTGTTCTTTTTGACTTTGGCTATTCTGTGCCCCTTGCATTTCCTCATGAAACGGGAGCCATTTGTCACTTTCTGCGGAAAAGCCAGCTGGGAGCCTGAGGGTAATTGTGTTGAGTCCGTGGGTGTCTGTGGGGGGCTCCCACTGGCGGAATGGAATACACCTTCCAGTCCATGGACAGGAACGATTCCATTTATTTAGATCTTTACTTTCCTTCCACGATGTTCATAGTTTTTGCTGTACAAGTCTTACATATCTTCTGTGCAGTGTATTCCGAAGTATCTCATTTCTCTTGATGCTGCTCTGTTTCTCGTTTCATATTTGGGTGGTTTATTGCGGGCATGTAGAGGTACAACAGATCTTGCAGAGATTGTGTCCTGCAGCGCTGGTGAACTCATTTATTACTGCCAGGGGTGTTTTAGTGGATTCCTTGGGCTTTCCCATATGTAAGGTCATGTCATATCAGTATCTTAAAGTCTCTCAGTTGCTCCCAGTGTGTGCAGCCAGGATTGAAAGCCAGTGGTTCCCAGGCCTGTGGGATGGAGGGGAGGGCTGAGGAGCAGAGCAATCACTGGGGTTTCTGAGGAGGTGCCCAGCGTCTGGGGAGGCCTGAGGGACGGAGAGCTCGGTGCAGAGGAGCCAGAGAGACAGACCAGCGTCCACACTCCAGCTTCTGTCCTGGCGAATCCAGGTGGCAAGGGTCTGGAAGTGAGGCCACACTGTGTTCTGGGTGAGTGGCAGCTCCCACCCCGCCACGAATTGTCAGAAGGGGCCCACGTGGACACTGGCCTGGGCCTCCTGTGGCTCTGCGTTGACCCTGTTCACCCGCTTCGGGGGAAGGACTGTCTACGTGACCTCAGCAGACCTGGCGGGCGCCTTAGAAATCCACGTTATCTAGAAACTGGTTGTATCATCTATCTTACTGGTTCCCTTATTAATTAATGAGCTAATAATTAAAATCTTGGACATGTGTTCATTTTATTGTTTTGTATTTGTATGAAAGTCATGGTTTCTCCCTTTTCTT